CGAAGTAGAAAATAACTAATACGACACGTTGGACCCATGCATGCACACATGGCCTGCAGGCAATTGTCTTGTGTCCGGGTTAAGCCTAATGGCATTTGGGTTCCGTTCTGGCCTTTTACACTCTCACCACCCCCACCCTGAGCACGTGCAATAAGCCAAACAACGCCCCTGGCATGCTAAGCAACAAAACGAAGAGGAACCGGAGAAAAGGGTTGGCTTAATAAAAATGTAAAGCACGTTGGCTCATAGTGGGTTGAGGTTGTGCCTTGGGATTGGGGCCGTGACGCGATGGTCAGGGGCGGGCGGGCTGGTACAAGGTAAAAATAGTGCAGCATACTTTGCGGCGCCTGCTGTTGTACATATGAAATGGCATAGTTCAACTGGCTGTTAACAGTTGCGGCCAAAAAACCAAAGAGAGCGAGAGAGGTGGCTAAAGAAGATAGCGTGGAGATGGAGAGGGACACGGGAGAGAGGGGAATAGAGCCAAGTAGACAGGAGGAACCGAACAGAGAAGACCCGAGCAGGACAAAAGGATTTGCACAATGTTTAGCCTGGCGTTGCAGCAATTTTCTACAATTACCTGGGGCACAACGACACAGACCGAGCGAGCGAGCGAGCAACCGACCGACCGACAGACCGGCAGGGATAAAATGCACACAGGGCTTTCACTGATTCCCTTTTGGCTGTTTCAGTTTTTTTCAGCTCTTTCCCGTTTTTTTTTTCAGCTCTCCGAGCTAAAGGAAAGAGCAGTGAAAATAATATTAAAGGCCATTAGGCTCATATAGACAAGTTAAGTGGCTCCTGGTCTCCATCCTTGTTCGTGATTCCTTTGCTGGCCATGTGTGGCAGTTTTTAGATTTTATTTTCATGCCTGCTGCTCCTCTTGGTCGACATCCACATGCACATCCACATCCACATGCACATCCTCATCCTCATCCACATACACGTCTACATTCTCGTTGTCTGTTGCCAAGGCAAAGGCAAAAGAAGTCATTAACGTGTCGTTGTCTTTGATGCTGCCGTCAAACGGAGGCTGGGGCAGGGGCAGGGGCAGGGAAGCACTGGTACAGAGTCGAGTGGAGCAGGCAAAAAGAAAACCAAATTAAATTAGTTAACCACATGGTAACTTTTGTATGTGCCACGGCAGGAGACAAGGACAGGCCACTAATTGTTGCATGTTATGTTTTTGCTTATCTCCTTTTGAGTCGCTCTCTGGCAGATCCCCTCCTGCCTTGCCCTCCCCCGGGGCAAGTAATTGTATTTTAAGACCTAGCGAAAGCCAAAGGTGGAAGAACCAGTCGCGTCTATAAATTATACAAAAAAATTTGGAGTCAGTGGAGACAGCGGAGACAGCGGCGCCAGAGGAGACAACAAAAACTAAACAGAGCGTCGTTGACAACGCGAGAGTCAAAGCTCAAAGCACATGTCCCATTCCCTTCAGGTTCTTTATTCCGCTTTTTTTTGTGCTGTACTAACTGGATGGCTAGCTGGCTGGCTGGTTGGCTGGGTGACTGGCAGGGTGGCTGTGCACTGTTGCCAATTGACATGTAAATTGACATTTAATGGTTGCTAATGAGCGTCTGAGGATTAGTTCTCTCTCCCAGAGCGAGGGACAGAGAAAGAGAAGAGGCTAGCTATTTGAATAGATTAGGGCAGGCTAATGGAGGAGTTTCTGTTGGTTCAGGTGAATGAATGCTTCTGCATGCCGCAACTTTCACATTTCTGGAATTCCCCTGACCATGGCTTAAACTCTTCTCTGAAAACCCTTTGGCATTCGAAGAGAGTCGACTCTGATTGCAGCTAATAAATCATTAAGCAAACAAATAAATACTCCATTAATTTTCACAGCTTTGTCTAAGTTCGGAGAAGGAGCTGAGAGCTGAGATCCTGCCATAATGCGACCAATTCATATCTGAAAAGTCCTTAATCTGATTACAGCAGATAGCTCAGAATGCTATGTAAATATGTTTAAGTTATTAATTATTTTGTGGGGATTTCCTAGCTCTCGACTCTCTCCGTTATAATTACAAAACTTTGTGGGACAGCACTCGGGCTGTCTACGAATAATATTTGCTTGGCAAAAATTGATTGAAATATGAAGGCATCATCAGCTCAACGTCTCCTTCTGTTGCCAGTGCCTCTGCCGGCTTGTATCTTTGTATCTCTGTATCTCAGCATCTGGACTTGTCTGGCCAGTGCATTCGACTACGTTTATTTTCCTATAAATTATTGAAATTGTAATTACTTAGGCAGGAAATGGGTAAATGAGCACCAAGCCGTATGCTTAATATTTCCCCGGCGCTCAGCCTTCTGCTGCTGCCTGCTCTGTTGTTGTTTTTCCCTGCTGCTTGTAATGAAAATTTAATTAAAATTATGTACATTGATTAAGTGAAGGGCAACAGTCTGAGCCCTGGACTTGAGTAGTTTTTCATTTGCATTTTTCTATATTTTATTAGTGGACTCCCCCCCTCTCTCTGACTCTCTATGTTTCTGGCTGTGTTCGCTGCCCTTTTTGATTGATGATGTGCCTGCCTTACTGGTGGAAAGAGTAGGAGAGTGAGTGACTGGTAAAAGGAAACTAATTAATATGTAATTAGTGACACTCATTTGACGTGTAACGAGGCTAATGTAAAAATCTCACAGATACTCAGATCAGAATAGACATGGGTAGCTGGGGAGGGAGCTGCTTTCTTCACTCTCCTATAGATTGAAATGAAAACGATTCCGCTAGATTGGTGCCTTATGCCAGGCCTGAATCATCCGGAATCAGCATCAGCTGCTGCCCCATCAATATTGCCGGCAATTGTTCTGGGCCCAGTCGAGAGTCGGGAGGCAAGAGTCAAGAGTCGACATTCAGAGCCAAGCGTCGCTGCAGGCCACATCCCATTTTTATGGCACTCAGACAGACTGCCAGACTGCCAGACGGGAAAGGCCATCCCTGCACAGCCGACGCGTCGGAGGTGTCAGTATTTATACAGCAAATAAGCTAAATTTTTCCTTTATGACTCCCAGAACGGTCCGGATATGGAGACGGCAACAGCGACGGAGGCAAACAGTTGGTGTCGTGGCTCGACAATTGTGTGGCAATTGTCAAAAGTCTCCCGAGTCATCCCATTCCATTCCATACCGTACCGCTCCGTTCCGTTCCGTCTCGTCGACGACTTGACGTTTATATATGACTAGAGATAAGTCAGGATAGCAGGCAGGCAGGCAAGCAGGCATTTCCCGCCCCCGAAAGACGTTGACACCGAAAAGTGCAAGGCCTGTTCTCGGTGGCTTTTGTTGCCATTGTCAGGGAATCCTTTGGGTCTCTTTCAGGCTTTCCCACTTTAAGAGACGTGTTTATTTGTCAGTTTGAAATTCTGGAGTAATAAGCGTAAAACTCGACTATAGGCTGGGGACAAACTCTGCAAATGGCACAAGAGCCGAGCCAGTATGACGGAAAGTAGGATGGAGTTTAGCCAAAGTCAGAAGTAAATTAGTTATTAGCCTTGTAAGTAGTTCACAAAGTTCCTGCTCAAGTCGCTGACAGCCTTTCGGATGGAAATGGAAACGGTGGAGCGGAGCAACGGGGGAACGGAGCAACGGAGGTTGGGGAAAATGCCGCTAAAATGCGCCTAATTGTTAATTAGTGTCAGCGTGACTTTGTTTGTGGGTATGCACAGTGGCAGACATTTCTATAGTCACATTTTTAGGCACAAAAGTTTTTGTTTGGCTGGAGCCAAAAGTCAGCGGCAGTCAGCGGCAGACCAAACGGAAACAAGAAGAAGGAAAACTTTGTCTTGGGCCTCGGCGCTCTCTCTCCTCGGTATTGTGGTATTGAAGTGTTAATTAATATTGAAAAGGATCAACTTTTCTCTGACTTGTGGAATGGCAATGGAATGGAGTAGATGGGGCAAGGAGTTGCGCCTGCCTGGGCTCCATTTCATCCCTTTAAGATCATCCCTGGGCATTCTTCCATTTGCATTTCAAGTTGCAGGTGGCAATAAATTTGCTTGTTCCCCGTCCTCCTCCGCTCGCTCTCTGGAAAGACAATCTTGACATGCCATTAACATTTCATGTGCACCTTGTCTCAGCTTTTTTCAGCTGCCTCGACTATCACACTAAAAGTCAATATAAAGTAAAAATTCTTTTTATGACCCCGGGATTATCATTTTGCGGTGCTGCTGGTGCTGGTGCTGCTGCTGATGCTGCTGCAGCTTGACATGAAATTGGCTGCACACTGGGGGTAACCAGAAATTGGCTATAAAAGGCGAGCCACGACCAAAAGGTGCTCTCCCTGGCTGTCTTTATACACACACAGATACCCGTGTACCGTATATATATACAAAAATATAGAAATTTTTATTTTAAGTAGTGACGCGTCAGGGATAATGTTAATGGCACATGGCATTTTCATTTCAAACGCATAAAAGTGTCCGCCGTCCGACCCCGTGAAATGTTTAAAGAAAGGAAAGCGAAAAGAGCCGGAGAATGGAGGGGGTATGTAGAGTATGGCGAGAATGGAGGGAATGGGGAGAATGGGGAGAATGGAAAGAATGGATAGAGAAAAAGGGAAATGTCACCCGGGGAATGTCCTCTTTGTGGCTGCCGCTTTATGTGTGTGCAGATTTGTTTTTTATTTCATATACATATACTCGTACTCGCTCGTAGAAGTATGTATATATATGTATATAATAAGGGGAAAGCTGAGCATCTCCCGCGATAAAGCGCAATTTTAAGTTTATGAGCTCTAGGCAGAGCCCGTCCTGCAAACGCTCCCGCATTTATATGTTATGTCCCGCTTTTATAACTCCACGCAGCGCATATGGCACGAAACGGAGATGAGGTTGAGATGAGGTTGAGACCGGCTGTCCCATTCACGCAAGAGATTGCCCGCAATGGCCAATAGACCGGGCCACAAATCGCCATCGGGCCAGGGCATCGGGTACTCGATCGTTAAGTACTAAAAACTAATTAAAGAGCTATCTTAGTTTTAGAGTATTCATAAATATGCTTACTTTTTGTTGGGTCTGGTTTTAGTCTGGTTTTTGCTCTTGAATCTCTACCCTTTGTAGTGTTTTATGTCTCTATTTTTAAATATTAAATGCGTTTAGCTTTTTCGCCCTGCTGTCGTGCTAGAGGTCCGCACTTTGCCGGCTTAAACTGAAGGATTTGAGAGGTCAAAGCTCTGTCTTTTTGAACTACAGGTAGGTGTGGTAATGATCGTTTGCCTACGGTTTGCACTACGTTGATATCAGTAAAAACTTTGATGCTTTTAGAGCTCAACTTATTGACTCAACTCCTCACTGATCTCTCCTCTTGACTCTATTCAATCACTTGGTTAATTTATTAGTTACTGCGGGGTCGACTCTCCTAGCCCTGTCATCGACCATCTTCTCGGAAAGCGGTATCGTATCGGCTGTTGTGTTTAGTTGAATGCTGCCATTTTCCAGCTTGTCACGAAGTTTGCTAAATTTGTGTACAAATTTATGGAAGTTTGTGGTTTTTTTTGTTTGTTTTGTTTTGTTAAAGTTTTGCGCAAAAAAAGAGAAGAGCAGAAAAAAGAAAGAGAAAAAGTAAGAATAAATAAAATTTTTATAATCTCTGTTGTTTTTTTCTAATTGCAAGTTTTCTTATTTTTGGGCTTCTATGGTGAAATATTTACTTTGAATGTTTAATGTTGTCGCTTATTGTTAATTAATTAAATTGTTTATCAGTCCTTTTTCAACTGTTTTATTTTAATTTTAATTTTATCTTTGTTTGCACTACGGAAAATGAGCAACGGCAAAATTACGCACAACAAATATTTACGTGCCGTACTTTAACGAATTGCAATCTATTTTTCGCCTCAAATCTTTGGCAGTGGTAGTGGTAGGTAGGTATACGAGATATACACAGATATAGCACAACGTTTAGAGACTTGGATTTTCTCCACTTTATTCGTTTATATTTTTACTGACAACATCAAGGAACAACAACACTGAGATATAAAAACTTTATAGGGGGAAAAATTGAACAGAAAAACTAGATTAGTTTTAAAAGGGAGTGTGGGAGTGGGGGGTATAGCTAGGGTGTTAGTTAAATCATCGAAAATTAAGTTACAATATGGTACGAGTACGAGTACGAGTATTTTATGGCTGATGTTCAAAAGCATCAAAGTCTTATAGCTGATATAATATTTTTGGGGATATATAGTAATATGATGTACGCACGATATATAGGTAATATTATAAAATACACGACAACCACGACATATACGGAAATAATGGTGATTAGATATTCAAGATATATGTAAGGCTAAAGTATAAATAAATAATCTAGATGTTAGCAATACCAACAAGGCCTATTGCCAAGAATTACCACAACAATGGAACACAGGATATTACGATTTAGTGTTTATAACGCAAGAACAATCCACAGAAATATATCCTATTTGATGATTAATTAATAGTTACTTCAGCATTTTTGTTCAACAATCTAACAGCTAAAGAATCTATCACAACATTTTTTTAGCGATTTGCGGAAATTCGGGCAAAGCTTCGAATACAAACAAGGCTCTCAATCATAGATTCTGGCCGACTGAACCAATCGGCCTTGCTAATTGAAAAATATTGTCCTGCCCAAGCCGTGCAAAACAACAGCCGCTACTCAGCAGGACCCTCTCCACACACACATTCAATCACTTCGCACACGCTCTCAAGGCAACAAATCAATAGAGAACTCGGGGCGTCGAACACTCTTCAACACCTTGACAGCAGCTGATGCCTCAAATAAACAAATAAAAGCAATAAAAGCAACAAACAACGACTTCAATGAGAGAATGGCTGAAAAGTAGGAAGGGTGCAACAGCACCATTAAGAGAATGTGAGTTTGTGCAACAATAGCAACAGCAACACCAACAGCAATAACAACAAAAACCAAGTGAAGTCCGTCAATCAAATTGCTTTGGGAAGTTTTGAGAGAAAATGGTTCAATAAACATGTCTTACATGAAACATTTTAATTAAATTATATTTTCTCTCTCTTTCGAGTATATCTGTGCACGTGTGCATGGATGTATTTGTGTGTGCAAGTGTATGTGTATGTGTGTATGTGTTGTGCAATATTTATCAATTTTCCAAGTCATCACAATAACCATACGTCTTCATCTAGCCCCAAACGAACATACCCACATACATGTGTGTGTGTGTGTGTATGCACACACTCGTACCCCACATTCACTCACACAAGCAAACAAAAGGGTTTTAGCACTCTCTCCATGCACATCGCTCATTTGCAGAAGGGCAGAAAGAGAGGCCAGAAGAGTACGAGAGGGAAGACAATGTGCGCTCTACTTTAATTTAATTTTTGTGGTTGCCTCTCCTCGTTCTTGTTGTTGTTGTTGTGGTTGTTGTTGCCGCTGTTGCTGTTGCTGTTGTTTGTTTGTTCGTTGCGCGCAATTAATTGAACTTGCAGCAGACCCGAGACTATTGACAGCCCGGAGGGGTGGTGGCAGTGTGCCAGGGCTGATAGAGAGGTTGGGAAGGATAGAGCGAGCAGAAGCGTTTCTGCTGCGGTTGAGTCGATGAACACTTAAGCCACACTCAATGCAGTCCCTGGCTCAGCCTCGTTTGCCCCGTTACGCTTTACGGAATTTAACTAAGACAAACACAACCACAACGATAACAACAGAAGCAGAGAGAGAACAGCACACACAGATACGAGCACACAAATACACTAGCGAGTTGTGTAGTTTGTTGCCTTTTCCGTTCTGGTATATGAAATGCTTGCGGGTCTTATGCTGGCTTAGCAGCAAACTTGTCTAAGCTTCCGTCCAAGACAGATAGCAGAGAGGAGGTGAAACGGAGGGAGGAGCAAAGCAAAGGAAAGGAAAGGAAACGAAACGAAGAGACCCTCGAAGCCTTTGCAATTACAATTACGCATAGGAGAAAGAGCACAGCGGAGGAGAGCGCTGAAAACAGCACACAAAACACAGAAAACAGAGCCCAGAAAGCAGAACCCAGAACCCAGAGCCGAGAGCCCAGAACAAGATGAAGGAGAGACCGGTCCCCGGGTCCATAGCTGAAGAAGAATGGCCAACAGTAATTGTAATGACAGACAAAGTAGGCAAAACATTTAGCAGCTTAACGGACCTTTAACCCGTGAACAGAGAAATAGCCCGAATTTAAAGGAAGACTCCCTCAACGCTCTCCCGATATTCGCTGGACTCCCACTACTTAGCAGCTCCCTGACCCCCTCACTACCCGCATCACGTTCTGGTCAAGGCTGCAGCTATTACTCCATTCCGCCCAGCCATCCTCTAAAACATATTGCACAATTACTTGCCGCAGAAAGAGAGAGAGAGAGAGAGAGAGAGAGAGTGAACGATTGGGGACGGGGTAGCAGGGGGCACAAAATAAAATAGCTAACGAAATTTATGTTATTGTTTGTCTGACTGCCTGCCAGCTAGGCGGAGAGCAGCAGGAACAGAGGACCGTAGGACTACTACTACCTTTTGCCGGGGACTGCTCCCATATTATTTGCACATATTTCTACCCTCTCTCCGGCAGTGTGTGTGTGCTCGTGTTTGTTGCAACATTTTATTTATCGCACTGGCCATAAAATGCACGCTGGGGGCATTTGTAACAATTTTGCAACCAAACACACAATGGAGGAGCAACCCTCGTCCTGTGGCTCGCTGCTGTTCTCCCCTTACATTCCTCCTTTCTTAGTCAGGTTAAAATATTACAACATCATGCTTAAAAGTCACGTTTAAACGCTGACGACGACGGCGCTGAAAGATTATTGCATTTTTAGACTGCCAACCCACCTCGGCCCACCTCTGATCCCACCTGCTTTCACCCGACCAGAGGCAGAGGCAGAGGCACAGGCACAGGCACGGCCACACAATCACAAACAAACGTAGTTCATTTCAGTCAGACGTCGTCCTTGTCGTCTGTGCCTCTGCCTGTGCCTCAGCCTGTCTGTGTGCTCGACGAAATAAGTAATAGTGTTGCAACGTGCCTGCCGCATTTTATTTCCTTCCCAGCCAGATACTCGTTCTGGGGCAGGCAAGGTGGGGACAGTCGAGGCGGTGCGGTGCGGGGCTGAGCTGAGCTGGATAGTCTGCTCTCCGGCAAGCCATTGATTGTATAATTCTTGTGTTGCGAGTGAAAATTGTATATGCTTGATGTCTGATTGAATTGAATGGATGTGCGAGAGTGAGTGAGTGAGGTAGCCTCCTTCTCCTTCGCCTTCTCCTTCTCCGAGCTCGTTTGGCTTTTGCGGTTACGAAACCAATTTATTTGCTTTTTTCTCTTCTCTCACTTTGTGTGTGTGAGTGTGTTTGTGTGTGTGTGTGGATGCTGTTATTTATTTTAAATAGCATTGGAAACTCTGGCTCGCTTATGCAGGTGTATCTTTTGGCCGTTCTCCGCCTGGTTTCTTTTTTGTGTGTGCTCTCAGAAATCCTTGAAAGCCAAAAATGATTTCATAAGATGAAAAGCGCTTTTTCGCACAACATTTTTGCTTTTTTCTTTTCTCTCTGTATGTATGGGAGGATTGAAGCGTCTATAGGGCTGTAAGAGATGACCGTAGAGAGCCACAAGAATTTTTGGCAACTTTGTGAGTTGCCAGATTGAAGTGATAGTTGGCAGAGGGAGTCTGGAGGCTCGAGAGTAGAGAGTGGGATGAAAGTGCAGTCAATGGTGATGACAATTAAAGATAGTTGAAGCCGAAGAGGCAACGAATCAGATGAAGCATATAAATATAGATCTTTCAGTCCCCAAGGATCTGCTCGTAAGCCAGTTTCAATTACATTTCCATAACCCAGCCTAAGCCCCGGGGACACCCGGAAGCGACACCCTGGCACTCTGGAGTCGCGTCGGGAAAGCAAAAGTCACTTTTTCAATTTTCAAAATTAAAAAAAAAACTCTGCGCACACACGAGTAAATCACTAAGTTACTGTGTCGCATTGATAAACCCTTATCAAGTGGGTTTTTTAGGCGCACATACCCCACATACCGCACCACACAGGAGTCACGTTGACACCCTGTCAGGGGGCACGGCACCAGTCAAGGGGTGGGAGGGGCTAGAGAAGTCACTAAACGAAACGAAACGAAACGCGGAGGTATCTGACAAGGGTGAAAAAATCAGGCGAGAAGAAAGCCTTGCCTACTTTTCGGCGTGAATTTAAAAGGCAGGAATCATGGGTGGGCTGGAGACGGAGATGGAGATGGAGTCTGCCAGGGATGATGCTGATGTGACGCTGGATGGGGCTGGCTGGGGCTGGTGGGGCATGTGCGCTATGTAGCGCGCATATTAAAATCTATAAAATATGCTTGTGACTGCTTTACGACTCGAAAGCCAGCATCCAGAAGCAGAAAAAGTTCAATATTTGTAAATCTTCTGCTGCTTCTTGGCTCAGTTTGCCGCTTCCCCGCTTGCCCGCTTTCCACTCCTTCCTGCTCGGGGTCTCGTTCTTTATGGGTT